CAATGCATATCGAAACTAGGTCAGTTCATCGTGCAGGGACCCTTCGACATCACGAAAGAAGGGTCCTGACACGATGAACCTTGTTTTCACGCACCGTACAACGTGCATGGTATATCATCCTAAGCTCTGGAATCAGTGGTTTCGTTTCTCAAATCATTCGGGATGAGTTCCTTTTCCTGGTTTTGGATGCAATGTGTCGGAAGAGAGAAAGAGAGAGTGAAGATGAAAAAGTGGAGAAGGAAAATGAACCGTTGGAGGAGGTCGTTGGCTTTGGGTGGATACTTGAATCTACCAGTTGAAGTTCCTCCATTGTTTTCTATTTCATATTGTTTTCGAAAATATGTATGTATGCTGAAATGAATCGGCGAAGTGGTTTTTGTCGTGGGGAACAGTTGACAGTGGGGGCTGTGACCGGCCGTCGTCTGTCGCGGTGGTTTGTATCGTGTTACGTATTTGTCCCATCTCCGAGTCGAGTATTTTTCTTGGACCTCATAGGCTCCGGCTCAGCTGTTACGAACAGTTGCTTAATGCTTAACATCACGTCATAGCCCAGCCACCCCCGGCCTGAACCGCGTTCGCTGTATCCCATCTTCTCTTTGAAGCTATTATATTTGATTGTTTACTTTGTTTATTTCGTTTACTTCCTCGGTATAGAAATAGTTCGTTTTGTAGTCGTCTAACACTGAGCAAGAACTACTCTGTCCGGAAAACTTCCTTGAAGAGTGGTGTCTCGGTTCTTTTGTTTCAATAATTTTGATTTCGAAATGAAGTCGAGTACATGGCGCATTCACACATTATGCGCCCCGGCTTCGTTCCTTCAAGGATAAAGATTATCCAGTTAGCATACTGATGTTGTACCTTTTTACGGCAGTGTACTCAAAATGGTATTTTCAAATATCAGACAAATTTTTCAGTGTTCTTGGAATATTTTGGTTTTCTGCATGCTACAGAATAGTGAACTTCTCCATAGAGGAAACTCTTGCCCATCGGTTAAACACTAGAGAATAGAAAGCCTGTTTTCTCTTAGAAGTCCGTGCTGGGAGCTGTAGCGGCCCCATTTGACTCTGTCCCAGCTTTGTCCTTTGACAACCTGAAGCTCACTCGAGTAGTCATAAATCAGACATTTGGGTGGTTGTATAAGCATAACGAATTCCAGAGTTGGAGTTGTGGGGAAGTCAAGGACCTTGTCTAATTGTAGGCTTCCAGCATTGCCACCACTGTGATGGGAGCATGTTCTAACAGTTGGTCTTACCTCAAGCCGATACATATCATAATAAGAACTGGCTCAAAGATGTAATGGGTTACACGAATTTACTTGTGCTTGCCATTTTTCTTTCTGACAAAATAATAAATGCTTCAGTGAGCAACCTGTATCTTTTATTTTCTCTATCGAATCGGCTTTACTTATTTATTTGTTGATTTACTTGAACATTCGATGGATGCACTGAAATACATACGCATCAAACGTAACACGGTCATATTTTTGAAAACAATTTTTGATCAAATTGTGTTAAACATACACTAGAATCAGCAATGTCGAATCGACATTTGAAGAGATCCGTTCAAAAATTGAAACTGATAGAAAGGGTGGTCGTAGTGGCAAGTGGCGCACCATCTCACGTGCATGGTCAGCGGATCGAATCCAGGATCGATATCCGTCCAGGCCAACCAAGCCTTCCATCCCTCCGAAGTCGGTGAATTGGTACCAGGCTCGTCTGGGAGGATAAAAGCACTGACTTGTACGTCGGCTGGCCACCGAAAGTCATTGTATAGGCCACATACGCACTCATTACGCCACTACGATTCTGAATGGGAGTCGAGTGCGGGGCGCATCCCTCAGACGGGATTGATTAACCCCAAGGACTTTTTCCTTTATCCTTTTAAACTGGTACTTGCCTGACTGCAAAAGGACAACCAAAAAGTTTGCTGTTCTCATTATTGAGTTTCCTAGAATCATTTCGGTAATGAGGCTCTTTTCTCTTCTTTCGAGTTTTTTTTTTCATTCCGAAAAATGGAAGCGAACAAAGCTATAACATTTACATTTCATTATTCATAACACTTCCTAATGTTCCACCGTTTTCACTTGCAGTTGATGACGTTAATGTCTATTTTAGTAGATTCATCAGGCATTCCATTCAATTTGTCATCAACTGCTAGAAAAAAAAGAGTAAAAGAGAATAAAAGAATAAATACAAATAAATTCGGAAACTTCAATTTTTTCCAGGAGAGAAAACGATTTTAAATCGTATAAATGGATGAAGCCTTAAATCATTTCCATTTTTGACGGTGGGGCGTGTCTCAAAGACGGAATTGACCAACGCTAATTCTTCAAGCTTCAACCTTCAATCATCTGAATGATTCTATAATTTGGTTATTATTATTTTTTCCCTAGTCTCTTAATACTTTTCGATAAATCGTATTTGGAAAGAACTCAGCTGAAGAAAGGCGTAGTCTTGCTAGACTGTACAGATCAAAGGGCTATGGGACACCCGAATTCCTTTTTTTTTAGGCAAAAATATATTGTACAGGTGTTTTTTAGAGTGGTCCCAATGAATCTCCTTCTGTCCAGTAATCGTAAGATGTCAGAAAAAGTTTGAAGTAGGGGCTTTAAGTGGAATCCCTATTTCTTTAGAATTTCTCTCATTATTCTTTTTCTTTCCTTCCTGGTTTCATCTCAGTCGGTTTACATATCACCAGTATCATCCGCTCAATGTTCTCCTAATGGGTCCAACGGCTAACAGTATCAGATTTCATAAACAGCCAAGCTCGTACTCTTCTTACCGTATCCATAGTTGAACCTTCCGACCCTCTGAACTTCTTTCTTTTCTTTTTTTTTCGAAAGGCACTAGAAGGAAAAAATCCAAGTACTTAATTGTTTCTAACTGCTGAAAAGTATCAACCTCACGTGGACTTTGTCTACTCCTCCATAAATGGACCAATAAAGAAAATAAAGAAAGGTTTTTCTGATTGGAAGTCGTCTTTCGCACTGGCTCTTAGGAATTCGCCCCGTTTCCCAGAAATTAAAGGGTTTACTTGGCTCTATCTGTAATTGATAAGCATTCTCTTCACATGTGCTCGACGGTCTCGGGGAAATTTGCTATTTTTCCTAAAAATTTTTACCGGCCAATCGATAATCGATCGAGGAAAACTGTGCTAGAAAGGCTGCAGCAGACTTGAAGATTTTCTTCAATTTATGACTTTATGAAAGAAAGTTTATTAGCTAATTTCAAGATTCATAGAGCCAGTTCAAGATTCAAGGACACCATGATCAAGAAAAATCATTGTCGAGTCCTCCGTATTGAATTTATTGAAAACTTCTGACGAAGTCCGAAAGAAAAAAGTTGAATTGAGCTTCTTATTAGCCATTGATTTATGGCGAGCGACAAAGCTGAACAGTCGTGGGGTGGCAACAGGGCGCTATTGCTTTTACACATGTCGTCCTCAGTGAAGACATGAAAAACAGAGATGATTTACTGTTAGGTCCAGGTGAAAGCTAACATAGAATGCGCCCTGTTTTCGTCTTCAATCTAGAATCATAAAAGTGTTTGTCTCAACGATGTACCTGACAAATAAATGTTAGGACCCTGCTACCTCTTTTTATAAGGGTATTTTACCAAAATTAACCATAGAATATTTAAAACCGCTTTCTAAAGTGATTTCAAGTCTGAGAAAAATCACAAGACCGGATATGGATATGAGGGTTATGTGGGTGAGATACGATGGGCGGCCTCAGTCTGTGACCTCGGTAGTGTCCCCCAGTTGCCTCTCTTCCATTCACTCACAAGTTCTGATTGATAGAACGGATTAAACCGGACGGCAAAATGAGCCCTTTTCTAGAGATTGACTCAGAGATGTTGGAGAGGATATCCTCAGTCCAGAATTAATCTTCAAAACAATTTGTAGTTGTACTACGATATTACGATCGTATCGATTGATCCAGAGGGCTGGCTGGCAGTTATAAGCGATAAATCTGCTTTGGTTACTCTGAGTAGACAGGTGCTGTTATCCGACATTGTTTCTTGCATCACAGCCAAGCCTCTGCCCACTATCACTCTGCAGTCGCCCGACTTCCCCAGCCTGGACGATTTCGTTGTTTCTCTGACTGTTCACCTCTCCTCGACGTTCCATTAGCTTTCTCTGAGAATTCCTACCTTTCTTTGTTCATTACACTTCAAACATGATAGCCATGAGGCGCCGCTATCACACGTGAGCCTCGGGAATCGAATCCCGCATCGATATCAGCCTAGGCTACCCAATCTCAAAGGAAGAATGGACCTGGAATGCTGGGGGTGGTGCCATCCCTGTCTGGCAGGGTGAAAGCTCTAGTTCTTCATCCAGCCCCTGTCCAGGTCAACCGACGCGATCCATCACCATTGTGATTTTGAATGGAAGTCGAATACATGGCTCATACGGGAAAACGATTGATTTGCGCTAGAATTCCAATGGGAAAAGCGCCTCACACAAATAAATGCTTTCTCGAGGCTTGCGTATTTAATACCCAACACGAATCGGTTAAGAAATTCAGGAAACCTCAATTAAGGGGGAGAGGGGAAGATAACCATTCAGCGAAAAGGGACCTCTAATCGTTTGATCGATATTGATCGCACGCTACGCTAGGCTTTTCCACTTGTTTATTTATTTATTTGTGACGCTGCATAAGGCAGACGTCAGATGATATACAACACCGTAGTCCACCAAGAATGTACAATCGAAATGATACCGTAATCAAAAAAGCAGCTCTTTAGTCAGACGTTCATTGCACGTTGCTAGGAGGATAACAGATGCATGGCTCACTCCTGTGTAGTTCTGCTACTGAGACTCAGGGGGAATTCGTTCATTGCGTTCAATGAAAATTCGGTTCGACAGCTGCCATCTTCCACCTTCACTCCTCCCTCGTATTCCATTATCGCCAGTTTTTCATGCCACATTGTAAAGTTCGATTTCAAATGTGCTAGATTTATGGCTCATCTCGAATGTCGTAATTCATACAGATTACCTTTACAATTTGATATAAAGCATTTCGTAATTTGATCGAAAATCCAGCAAAACTACTCAAAATTTGAGAAACCCTCGTGTATCCCATCATTTCCTCCTGGCCTTGTAACCATCACCTAAAGAGGTTTTCAAATTCGTTTTATCAGGTATGAGTCTTTTTGTAGAGCACGAAGTAAAAAATAAAACAAAACAAAGCAGTAAAATGAAAAACTTGTTACTCAGATGTTGGAAATGCGCACTTTCCCACCGAACGCCTCATAAGCCGTAACTGTGGTGCGCAGTGTCCGCAATCACGGTACTACTCGATTCAAATTCAAATTTTTGGAAGCTTTATCGTATGGGTCATTTACTTTCATGTTATTGAAGCTCTAGAAAGGTGTAAATTACAATTTATCGCTGGATAATCGTTATTTTTATCGTTTATACAGAATTGGGGTGTAAATATCAACTTATTTCATCTTTGTGGTACTAAACGCTTCCTTTTTCAAGTTTTTCTATTCTGTATTCAAAATATTCGCTGAAAAAAAAGGAATGCATTTTTCTTGTCCCCTCCTTGTATAAGACTCTAATGATTGATTCCCTTTATTTCAACGTAGATCACATTCTTATTTGAGGACTCTTGGCATGGTTATATTATCTCAGAAATTGTCTCTAACACCCTCTACCTAATGTTCGCTTCCCTTCCGTCTCTCTTCGGTATATTGTAGCTGTCGTTTGCCATCATTTCTTAACAACATTCGTTATGTTTTCAGGCGAAACCCCGACCGAATACCTGGATCGGCCGAAGGTCGATTTTCACTGTCTCCACTAGGCGTTCAAAGTCCATCGTCAGTTATCGCATACGATTTTTCGTTTTTGAACGAAACTCACACCATTCAAACGGAGTCATTCGGCTCACAAGTCGAGCAAACTGCTTCGTGGACGGGTGAGTATCTATTGAAATCGGGATCATTTTGTTTTTGCAAGTTCTAGAATGTCGAGTGTTCATGGTGCTGAATATCCCAGTCATCTGTTCACTTTTTCCTCAGTTTTTTTTTTGTTTTGTGAATGAATCAGTGTGGGTGGGTTCTACGGTGTAACTCATTGTTGACGGCAGGGTATGCTTGGGGTATCCGGCTGCAACGTCAATTGTTTGAGGTTTCTTGAAGCTTTATTCATTAAAATTGAGTGTTGATCTCCCGGTGTGATTTACTGGTGCCAAAAGGATTCTTTCCATTTGTAGTCGTAATGAATGTCAGAGTGTCTACAGCCAGTATTCGAGAGGCTATGGCAATTTCTACAGAGTTCTTCCAATTCGCTAAACTCGTTTTCTTTTTTATTCTATTACGATTATGCCCATACTCCTATATACCCAATCATCACCCTTTTTTCTTAAAAATATCAAGTCAATGAAACGATTTTGAACAGTGGAGAGGTCGCTTCAATTACAATGTGCGAGGCACTTCTTAGTGGACGCCCGAGCTTTGGCTCTTCTCACTTAAATATCTCGATTTCCAGAAAAAGTCCTTTCTTTTAGCTTCCTTCGCATTCTGATTGGATGCATTTATAAACCTGGTTAGATTATTATCGGTACCGATTTTACCTTCATTTTTCCTCTTAGTTGCCTTTACTAGCATTTTTCATGCAGAATATTGTAATCTATAGAGTACAACTTGACTCCCTCCCTGGCTTTTACTGCTGTCAGACAGGTATCTTTAAGCTGCTGCTAACTGCTCCTTAAAATTACCTGTCGTTCAAAAACATTGAATTGTGTGGCCTGACCATCGCGTCTTGCATACTTATTGATCATTTGATTTTTCTGATTACCGGCGTATACCTTTTTGTGGCCGCAGGTCTGCTCGTGCTCATCTTCACCCGCACCAACTGTTACACTCTCAGCTAGCCTTGTCCCTAACCTCTTTCTCTATTCTCGAAAGTTCTGGGTAATTACCATTTTGCTTTCGCTCCTTATTCACTCTAAATTTAGGGTTATAAATCGGAGTTCCGTTCCAAGGAGTTTACTCGGGTCAATGATCAGCTTCCCATGTCCGTGTGATCGGATCTCAATTCATATTTGGACTTACGATTTTGTCAATTGCTGGTTAAGCCCATGAACTATTCCTGCAAGGTGATGCTACGAAACTCTACTAGTGATCCGTAAGGGGTTATTGATCTGCTTTTCTGAATAATGACATGTGACCGTAGTCAATCGACTGCCGCACTTAAGTGTTGATATCAGTAATAATCAGGTACTCTTCACTCCTTATCAGTCAGGTGTTGTTTGGGTGCATTTATTCTATATCGACCCTCTCCCTTGACTCTCTCCAGCGAAGAAGGGTCAATTTGTCTGGTGTCTGGTTGGCCTTAGCTAGTCATGGGATGATCTCCTTGTGGGTTTTTCTTTTCTGATTCCCAATGCCCTCGAATGTCGCTCCACCTTATGCTGACATGGTCGCGAAGAAAGCTTTCACCTATTTTCTCCCTTTTTTTATAAGTACCATCAGAAAGAGGAAAGAGTTAAGTGGATTATATTGTAGTGGAACGTCGAAAGCCTTTCCTCCTCGTGGATGTTTTTCCTTCG